TCTTCGAAAAATATCTCAAGATTTTAATTTCTAATCCTTATCAACCTGACCACTTCGAATATTTTCTAAATTACTTTATTTGAATTTCTGATCAGTTGTAGGTCTTCAAAACAATTCCTGCTTATTTTGATCTCTTGTAGTAATATCCGAAAAGTTTCAATTGATTTATTGATCAGTTGTAGGTTCTCAGAATAATACCTGATCAATTTAAACTATTCAAAGAATATCAAAAGGACATCGTTTGAATTTCTGTTCAGTTGTAGGTTTTCAGAATAATTATTAACTTAAATTAAATTAAATCTGGTATTTTTCTGATGTTTATAGAACTACCCTGAAGTTCTAGTAGTTCTTCTAACTAGCCTTAAAATGTACATTTACCGCTATACCGCTATGCCGCTGTCCTGGTGTCATTGGGTTCGGCCCTTTACCTGGCTCGTAGACATTTCAAAGACAACAATGTCTGCATGATGTTTATACATCGGTTCAAACTATGCGTATTGATAAGTTTTCTGAAAAGATTTGGATCTAGGTGCATAGTTTGCTTTGATAGTCTTTCACAGTTTCTCTAGCATTCTCTAGTCTTAGCTCATCTAAATATTTACTGCAAAATCCCTGGATTAATCTTCAATTTGGCTTTGTTTTCTTGTTTATTTTCTATCGTTCTATGTTCTGCAACCGAGTGGCAACCACTTACGCCAGGGAGGCAATTGAACACCTAGACCTGGACTCATCAACTCAAGGGCCAGGATCCACGGCTGTGCTTCTTTTCGAAGGAAGGCATGACACCACCAAAGCAACCAAGGAAGTCATCAATCACCACCAACTGACGAGTTTCGTTTGTGGTTCGACACATGGACGGAGCATTTGTGTTTTGCTAAATTTTGCAAATTATTGGGGAATTTCCCTAAACTTTCACGCGGCCACCAGGTTTCACTCTTCCACAGGCCTTAAGGGTAACCCACATTAGATCTGCTTGCGTTGCGTTGTCGTAAATTTTATAGTTAGACAATATATTTAGCTGTCACTTTGCTGCATCGCGCCAGATCCGGATCTAATGTGGGTGGCCCTGTAGATTTGGAAACTTGATTATGTAAACACTAGGCATCTTTTTCTGGTAGTTCGTTCAAAAATGATACAACAATCGTCAAGCTCGCTGTAACGTCACCTAGTGCCTCGTCACCTACAAATTGGCGCCTATGTCAGTGGTCTAATAACTCTTAGCGCGCTAATGGCATAGTTCCCCTGCCGCATAGAGAGTTGCCACAATGACATTAGGTTAGCTAAGGTCAGTTAACTGACTGGTGGGAAACGGGAGCTTACGCAATGGCTATTCTGTATGCATTTAAGAGATAGTCTACCAGAATGGATGATTTTTTTGTACAATTTTATGTTTTCTGATTGTGCAAAACATGAGAATTAACTTTTCCAATGCTTTCAATTGTACAAAGCATTAGTGCTAGAAACATGATCTTGTAAACACTACACACCTTAACTGTTAGTTTGATTAAAAAATGCTGCAACAATCGTCAAGCTCGCTGTAATGTCACCAAGTGCCTCGTCACCTACAAATTGGCGCCTATGTCAGTGGTCTAATAACTCTTAGCGCGCTAATGGCATAGTTCCCCTGCCGCATAGAGAGTTGCCGCAATGACATTAGGTTAGCTAAGGTCAGTTAACTGACTGGTGGGAAACGGGAGCTTCAGCATTGACAGTTATGTACGCATTTTTATGATGTTATCTAACAACAATGGTGTGTAGTGTTTACACGATTATGTTACTAATTCTAATGTGTTGTAAATATAATTGAAAGCATTTGAAAAGTAAGATTCTAGTGTTTGTACTTCTTAAAACATAAGTAAACATCTACATTTTAAAACATTCAAACAACGTTTACTTTAAACGTTTTGTACATCTGAAAACATCAGAGAACAACAAACAGGAAGTACAATTCAAAACATCCGAACAACGTTTAGTTCTAACGTTGTGTACATCCGAAAACATCCAAAAAACGTTTGGTTCTAGCATCGGGAAACATCTACATAAGAAAACATTAGAATACATTTACATATAAAAACATCCGAACAACGTTTAGTTCTAACGTTTTTTACATCCGAAAACATCCAAAAACGTTTGGTTCTAACATCAGGAAACTTCTACATTAAAAAACATCAGAAAACATTTACATATAAAAACATTTAAACAACGTTTAGTTCTAACGTTTTTTACATCCGAGAACATCCGAAAACGTTTGGTTCTAACATCGGGAAACATCTACATTAGAAAACATCAGAAAACGTTTACATATAAAGACATCCGAACAACGTTTAGTTCTAACGTAATGTACATCAGAAAACATCCTTAAAACGTTTGGTTCTAATGTCAAGAGATTGAAATTTTTGACGTCAGACCGACATTAGAATGGCAAAATTTTGTTCCAAAATATCTGATGTATACACCATGTTACGTTGCTTAAATACAACTAAATCATAATGTTTTCTAATGTTTGACATCAGGCATACATTTGATTTCGATGCTGATGTAGACATCAAAATCAAACGTTGGGCTAATGTAAATTTCTATTCGGGAAAGTCATTTACACCCCTTTCTTTCTGACCCCATCAATTGAGAGCTTTCGATGCCTATTAGCAATGGGCGATCTTGGATCGAAACACAAAAGAGCGATTCTTTTGGTTCGATTTATCGATTTTTTTGAATCTATCACGACAAAAATCGACTGGACCGATCTTTTTTATTCGATTCAGTGCATTTACATTAGCATTGCATTCTGCAAACAACCAATGTGACAGGTCAGCAGGCAAGAACGCGAAAGAGAAAGTTTGGGGAGACGATTATAAACCTTTTTGACGTTTAATTGTCATTCTCTATCTACATGGATGAACGGACGGTTTGTTTTCCCACTAATCTGTTTCCCTCTTGCTCGCGCTCAATCGATTTAAAAGGTGCAGTAGTGTGCGCCGATTAAACATCAAAAAGCTCTATAATCGTCTCTCCGTGCGGCTCTCCTATAGTGCTTCGCATTCTCTTCCGCTTCTTTCTTTCACATTATTGAATACCAATAAAACGAATATTATAACCTGTTATTTCACTCACCTAATCATGTATCCTGAGCAAAAACTTTCACGTCAAATGAAATCAAAATAGTCATTTACTATATTCTCATCATGCATGTATGTTACACTCACAACTTTTACTGGGTATGTACTACACAATTTATTTTTAAATGATATCAATCATCATACTAAATGACTATTATAACTGAAATGTCATAACAAGATAGCTTATGTAACGTAATATAATTTAAACTGAACTTGACGTTAGTCTGCACCAACTTTCCTAATATGATCCGTTACACACTTAGAAAATAATACCGAAGTCGGTTTAATTTTCTACCGAACTACATCGGTTACCAACAACGAACCGAAGAATTCGTGTAAAAATATGTTTTTAGGCGTATTTTCCTAGTCAAACCCAAATTTCGGTTAAATTTGACAGATAGGAATGAAGACTGAACCGAAAAGTACGGTAAAGTAGCGATATTTACCAGTTCGGTACTTGAAAACCGAGAAAACTCGGTAAACTGAACCGAATATTCGCTAAACTTTCTCAAACGTCAAACTCACAACTTCGGTTCAACTTCACGACGGAAATTTTAACCGAAACTCGGTTTTCAGCTAAACCAAATATCGTCAGCCATTTTTTCTCGCTGGTGCGCGTTGTGTTTTTTTTTTTCGCAAGACGTGTTTTTTCGTTAGTGTCAGACGGTGAATTGATTTGAAAATGGAAAAACTTCTGGAGGAACTGCATGTTTGATTGAATTCCATGTAGGAGGCATTATCACGACGTGTGAGAAGTTTTTTGTTTCCCTCAAGGGGGTTAACCCTCTCTTTCCCCCCGCACAGGTGAGCCATATTTATGCATTAAAACAACATCTGACAAATATAATATAAATCATGCATCTCATTAAAAAAAAACTAGTTTTACTTCTGATTCGAAACATCGTAAGTTTTTGGATTTGAGCGCTGTCAAAAAGAACCGAATTCCGTGATTGCAACCGGTGAGTCGGTTTGTTTGACAGCGTTCGGTAATACTTGGGTAAACCGATGTTCGGTTATTCCTGCTTGAATTGACTTTTTGTCAACCGAGTTTTTTCGGTTAGTTTGACAGGTTGTGGGAAAAGAAACTTTAACGAACACTCGGTTGTTTCTTTTTGAACCGAACAGACTACCGGTTCAGCAGATAAAAACTCGGTTGAGATTGAACCGAGTTCGGTACTATTTTCTAAGTGTGTATATTTGAAACATGTTTGTGCCATTTTGAAATACGAATTGATTTAAAAAGATCGATTCAAAATGATTGATTAAATCGGTGAATCGATTATTTTCAAAAAAAAAAGTAGAAGGGTCTGTGCCTAGGGGCACGAACGGAAGCTTGAAGTAGGACCGCTACACGGATAGAAATCTCCTTATAACTTTTGGCAAATTATAGAAGTAACTCTAAGACCAGAAGGTCCCGAAGAAGCGTGCTCAACTTTTTGGCTCAGCTCTGGTACTCTCTTCGGTCCCAAGCTAATCGATTCACCCCTCGAAACAAAGGAAAATCCTCGAACCCCTAATTTTATCTGTCAAACTTTCATAGCGAATCAAATCAAACATAGTGTTGTACTAGAATTTAGACTAGAATGGGATACGTTAATCGATTTGCTTGGGACCAATAGGCTAGTCAAGTAGTGAGCCAATATAAAATCGTTAGTTTTCACCGGTTGATATTACCATCCTGTCATCGGGCTGCGATTTTCACAACCGCCGAAATGTTACTTACGACCTATTGAAAATTCACTCCTGAAATATTGCACCAAAATCAAAGAGTTTTGCTTTTGAGTGTATAAATGATAGACTGTTTCCCAGCAACACTGCTAAATGGGGAGCTTTCGCATCTGTCAGCTGTGCACAAAACAGCCTTTCAGTATGGTATCCAATTTTTCGATAAACAAAGTGGACTCGGTTCGGCGTTCCACGTAATACGAACGATTCTCTTATGCGGTTTTGTCTGTTATCAGCCACTAGAACGGGCGTTAGTGTCCGGAAACCCAGTGAAAGAACAGTGCCGATCTGAACCCAGTTTAATGTTCCGACAGTGATTCGATGCAAGTGCGTGAAAATTGTGAGCGATGAAATCTCCATAAATGTGACGTGCCAATTTTGGTACATTTTGCAGTATTGACGGGACTGTCTGGAATAATAAGTCCCTTTTCCCATGAGTGTACCTTCTCAGTGGTGGTCAATGTAGTGGTCCCAGTGGATAATCCTAGTAAGATTAAGATTAAGTGTAAATTACGGTAGAAGATAGTAGGGTCACAATGCGCCCTCGGAAAACGTTCCTAATTGCTGCTGTCCTGGTCGGATGGATTTTCACTACGTACTTAATCTTTTTGAAGAACTTCAAGGATCCAAGCCCACCGAAAAATCAAGAAATGGTCGAAAAGGTTCGCTACCTTGAGCAAAACATTCAGCTTGCCGAGAATAACCGAGATAAGCTATATCGTGAGATTATAAACATTCTCCAGAAGGAGGAAAAAACCACCAGTACTGAAGCACTCCCAGTGATAGTAAATAATGTGGAGATGGGCGAAATTCCGGCACAGATATCTGAAACTCCGCCACGTGCGGAAGCTGACGTCGCGCTAAGTAAGTTCCAGGAAAAGTTTATCAACGATGATATCAATAGCCCCATTATTCCGGTGCTGGTGTTTGCCTGCAATCGTCTGTCGGTAAATAGATGTCTGGATGACCTGCTGAAGCATCGCCCCCGGGCGGACCAATTCCCAATCATTGTGTCGCAAGATTGTGACGACGAAGCCACACGAAATATGATTTTGTCTTACAAGGACAATGTAACCCTCATCCGCCAACCGGATCAGTCGGATATTACGGTTCTGCCGAAGGAGAAAAAGTACAAAGGTTACTACAAAATCTCCCGCCACTACGGGTGGGCCCTGAGGACAGTTTTCAAGCAGGGCTTTGAATCGGTAATCATCGTTGAAGACGATTTGAGTGTCGCTCCGGACTTTTACGAGTACTTCCTGGGTACGTATCCGATCCTGAAGAAGGATCGCTCGCTGTGGTGCATTTCGGCGTGGAACGACAACGGGAAGGAAGGTTTGATTGATAGCACGGCCAGTGATTTGCTGTATCGGTCGGACTTCTTCCCCGGACTCGGCTGGATGATGACCAAGGAGCTGTGGGAGGAGCTGTCACCGAAATGGCCGAAAGCGTGAGTAGCGTTCTAGTTCTAGTGCATAAATAATCCACCAACCCACGAAAGGAAAGCAAATCGATACAATACTGTTGTTTTGATTTATTGCCCGATAACCAATCGCCCTTTAGATTTTTCGATTACCACACTACCTACTGTTATGGTAGTGAAATTGATTTTAATTATTTACAGTTATTACTGCATTACGGATTGACGGTATTGACAATGTACCTACGATTGAATGTTATATGAATTCCAATTAATGGACTAGTAGTCCTCCGACCGAATTATTTCAAATCTATTCAAGGACTGTTAAGAACTTGGAAAAATTAATATTACAGTTTTGCATTTTTATTGAGGTTTGTTAACAAAAATTCTTAAATTTTAGCATATTATTAATTTACAATTTTAGAATATATTTCAATCTTAGACAATAGTCCAAAGTTACAGCATGATTAAACTCATAAAAATCGGAGATGTTCATCATCGAGTTTTCGAGATAAAAGAAAAACCCGTCTTGACTTATAAGAATAAAATATCGATAACTGTAGAGATTAAGATATCGCAAATGATTTTTACAGTTTATTTCATGTAAAACTAGAGTGTCTACTACCTGGAAAACTTTAGATAATCTTGAAATTTTATTTTACCTTAAACAACACTGGAATTCTCAGGGAATTTCATCTTTATTAAGGGAAATAATTAATTCTTTTATCGAGCAGATTTTTAAGAAAAGTATTTACTGCAAAAATCTAGAAACATAAAATTTTATAAACTACCTAACTACGAACATAACATAACTTAACGTGCTAAATCACGTATGATCTGTTGATCTGAACTCAGGAGGTGGATCTCAGAATTTTGAGTAAGCGGGGGACTATTTAGGACCATCCTATGGATCTTGTTCTGGATCCTTTGCAGTTTTAGGTGATGGCATTTGGAGCAACTCTCCCAGATTGGCATACCATGTTCGGTAACAGGTAGGATTAGTTGATTATAGATAGCAAGCTTATTTTTGAGTGACAAGAAGGAATTCTTGTTGATGAGTAGATCTCATCAGGACGTTGCGCTAATGCCGCGGAGATACTTGTATGACAAACTATGAACATGAACATTGTTTGTATAATAAATTATGAGCACATCCATGTGATCCATCTTGTACAGTTTTAGGATGTGCTCATAATTGAAAAGAAGCTTGCTGTCTAGGGTTAGTCCGAGAAACACAACCTCTTTGGACCATTCCACCACGGAGCCGTTTAAGCGTATCTTAGCGAATTCCTTTATTATCGGGGTTGGAACCAGTTTCCACCCAGTGCGAAACCGAACTGAAACGAATTCGCTATATGAATCATGAAAGTCGAGTGAGCTTAACCCGCAACGGTTCTCCCTTGAAGGGAAAAGCAGTACTACACTGTGCGCCGGTGGGTACTAGCGCCGGTATGAAAGAAGCAACTAGAGCTAGTTGACTCTCTCACACCACCGCAAAACACGCCCAACCAGGACAGCGAACAATGCAGCTCCAAGAGCCCTTCTACCTTACTTACCTTACCAATCAGGCTAAGACCTTGTTGTCCTCTACTGTCCGAAGAAGTCGTCTCCACTCTACTCGATCCTTGGTCACAGTTCGCCAGCCTCGTAGTCTGCGAAGGGTCCGCAGGTCACCTTCTACTTGGTCGATCCACCTTGCCCACTGCGCTCCTCTTCTTCTTGTTCCTGTTGGGTCGCTTTCTACAACCCATTTCACTGGGTCGTCGTGCGGCATTCTTACGACGTGCCCAGCCCACCGTAGTCGCCCAATTTTTGCAATGTGGACGATGGATGGTTCTCCCACCAGCTGGTGCAATTCGTGGTTCATTCGCCTCCTCCACGTTCCGTCATCCATCTGCACTCCACCGCAATACCTTCCGTTCGAGAACACCAAGGGCGCGTTGGTCCTCCACGAGCATAGTCCAGGTCTCGTGGCCGTAGAGGACCACCGGTCTAATCAGCGTCTTTTAGACAGTCAACTTCGTGCGGTGGCGAATTTTATTCGACCGGAGCGTCCTCCGTAGTCCACAGTAGGCACGATTCCCTGTCATAATGCGTCTTTGAATTTCTCTGCTGGTATCATTTTCTGCGATCACCAGTGAGCCCAAAAACACGAACTCATCGACCACCTCGATTTCGTCACCGTCAATCTGAACTCGGGGTGGGAGGCTAACATTGTCTTCCCTAGAACCTCTTCCTTTCATGTATTTTGTCTTTGATGCGTTGATGGTAAGTCCAATCCGTCTAGCTTCAGCCTTCAGTCTGATGTACGTTTCCGCCATCATCTCAAAGTTCCGTGCCATAATGTCAATGTCATCGGCGAAGCCAAGGAGCTGGATGGACTTCCTGAATATCGTGCCACTCGTGTCTATCCCAGCTCTTCTGATCACACCTTCTAACGCGATGTTGAACAGCAGACACGAAAGTCCATCACCCGATACTCGAACAACGCACATCACTCGATCCATCGTCGCCTTGACCAATTTGCAATCTTTATAACTTCACGGTCCATACTAAGTAACGAGGGACAGGGCAGCATGAAGCTGTTCAGATCGGGTCTTGTAGGTGTCACAAGTTTTTCCGAAGTAAACGGGGAATCGTCGACGGACTCACCTGACACAGCACTGGCATACGCTAAACCAAGGGCAGTGGAGGGACCTTGGTTCGGCTGGACCACTGCAGCAGTGAGGCGATGCTGGCCTGAACGGCGGCTGGTAGCCGCTTGCTGTGTTGGAGAATACCCAGCGTGGGTGCTAAAGGCTCGTTGATTGTTGAAGGGAAGTGCTGCTAGGTTCGGGACCAGTTCGTAAGGCTAAAGTACAAGTACGATTGTTGCGGGTTCGACCCGTCTGGTTGCCTGTTGTCGCCTTTTAGTGAATATTAATTAATTCCGCTCGCTTGGACAAGTGGAGGCATGGTGGATTCCATCGCAGGTGGCACATTTCGGCTCGTTGTCATCAGCTTGACTACAGGACGCTGTCGTGTGGGTTCTTCCACACTTGTAACAGCGTGGCTTCATATGGGAATTTTTCGTGCCATGGCCTAAGAGAGGCAGTTCATACACAGCGTTCCATCATGGTGTTGAGGTCTGTACGACTGCCAAGAGATGATCCCGGTTGTTGTCCTTCAGCCCGGCAAGTGTGGTGGAGCCCTTCGTAATGTTGACCAGGAATAACTCATCTAGGGTCGTCGATTCATCGGATACATCACCTCTGGTTGTAGACCAATCCGCACCAGGTCACCTCGAATGATGTAAAACCTCGGAAAACCCCTTTAGTGGCTTCAGCGACGGCAAATCATGGGTGTAAAAACCACCTTGTTGTCCTTCAGGAATCTCCCGAACGACTTGAACAGGCTGGAGCACATCATCGTTCCGACACTGCAGAGCTTGAACCGAGGCTGTAGGTTGTGATCTGCAAACACAGTCCTAAGCTGGTCGACATCCTTCATCGAAGTGAAGAGCGGGGGAATCTGCTCCTTTTTTGTGATGGCAACGGCGTCACCTCCACCTCCATTGTCTTTCTCGAGCACCGAGAACTTCAGCGTCATCCATTGACGTTCCAATCTGCGTCCGGGTTTTCTTCGTAGGGAACTGCTGATGTGCAAGTACGCTGATGTACCACGCCAACTCGTCTTCGGTGTTGGCAGCACCCTCTCAGAACCTTATGAAACTTTGTGGGTGTGGAGACTTAGCAATTTTAAGCAACTTTGAGTACTTATTTTTTTCAAAATTTATCTCGCCTAACATTTGATAAGGGTCAAAGTTTTTTGTCGATTTTTTTTTCAAATCGATATAGCTTAAAAATGACAAGCCCTACAAAATAGTGATGTATGGCGAACTTTTAGCAAATAATCTGAAATTTTATAAAAAAAATTAAATAAATTAAAAAATTGGTTTCTACACTCTAAAAAAATATATTTAAAAATTAAAAGTCATTTTCCCAAAAATGGTACCCCTCAGATTTGCTTGATATTTTTTCTCATGAAAGGCAATATAATTACCTAACTTTTCTTCATACATCGCAAAGTGGGCGCTTTTAAGGAAAAAAAAGTTGTTCGAACAACAACTTTTTCATGTTAATTTTTTTTTAGCGTGTTTCACTCAAAGTCGAATAGTAATACGCGCACAACCTTATTAAAATCCGTTGAAACTTAATGAGCATAAAGATTTTGACCTTTTGATAATCTGGGCGTGCTTAAAACAAAAATCTAGCCTAACATTTGAAAGGGCCTAATACAGAGGATTTTCCTGCATTTCGAATGGTGTTTTAATAAATGAAAACTCTAGTGTTTTTGTTTAGTGCATAATTTATTTTCCTATAATTCTCCATACATAATTTGAGTTTTTCATTGATTATTAGTCTATCGGAAACAGAGTGAAATTTTTCGGAGTTTCCTTTGAATGTGAAAATCGCTTAGTAGAAATTATGTTTTGAGAAATAGGTACAAAACAATGAAATTTTTGTGTACCAGGTATAGTTTTTACATGACTGAACAGCTCCTTGAGTTCATCGGACATCTTTGTGTATTGATCATTTGATATGAAGTAGAAGTTCAATTTTGTTATGCTTGTATCTGTTTGTTTAACTGCCCAGTCATACAGTTCTTGTGGAGTTGTGATTGTGTTTCCATAATCTCGAGCAAGACTTGCTCTCTTTGCCATTCGTTTGAGAGTTCCTCCAATTGCGTCACATGGGCCTTTCCCATGAGACGTTGCGAAGAAGTGCCATTCTGCTTCCAATCCATACTTGGACTTGAAGTTGCACAAACTGGCAAAATTCTTTTTATTTTTGTAATGAGCCGCTGCTCCATCTGACATGAAAGTAATTTTTGTGAAACTAATAGATTGTTTAATGAAATCTAACAATTTTGATATAAATAATTGAACTGCTATTGTATCATGGGTCAATACTTCTGAAATAATAATAAAGCTTAAATTTTCCAACTTGTTTTCTTTTATGTAGTAAATTTCGAAAGGATGTATCGTAGCTTGATTATTGTTCCAATGTTTCTGAGTTTTGAATAATAAATGAATAATTTTCAGAAAAGTCGCAAATCACTAAAATTTCACCGTTTTGAAGAGAATTTTTTTTATTACTTAGGTAAGATGATTGCTCTTTATGAATAAAATCATGGGTTATGAGCTTTTCAACTTTTTCCGTCAAATATTGAACAAACTCATCTGCAGGTTTAATAATAGTTTCCAAATTACAACGGTCGGTAGTCAACCACTGTTGAAATAAAACTTCTTCCATATCATCTGCTTCTAATACTGATGTAAGTTCCCTCACGATACTATCTGTGGAAATGCATTCTTCACATGTACGATAAAAACAATCTATGGTTCTAATAGGACTACTGCAAAGTATTTTGTCTGCAATTTCTTTATATGAATCAAATTTTACACTATTAATAATCAATTTAACATTTTCATGTATAGTACAGACACATACATTATGTGTACCTGTACTATCCAACAGTATGCAATGCTTTGGTCGGAGCTGAGTGAACGAAGTAAATCCGATTTTAACACTTTTGTATTTCTCTTCAAAAATCATAAAAGCCTCTTTAAGAGACATCATCAATAAACGTTTCTGAACATGCTCTTTATATCCATTTCGATATTCAGAAACATAATCATTACTTCCTGGCATAGGCCTACTAATATCATCACTGTCAAAGAAATTTAAAACAATTTGTTTTTCAGTATCATTAAATCCATGACCACTTCTTGCTTTCTTACTACAAAGAATACCTTGTTCTCTGACTAGCCTTTTCATCTGTTTCACTGTATGATGGGGTGCATTAAACTCATTAACTATTTGATTCACTGACCATGATTTAGGGAGCACTGATAACACTTTTAATTTGTCATTTGTACTCGTAGAAGGCAAATTAAATTTCTCCTTTAACTGCATGATCATTTCGTCAAAATCATTTGATTTGTTGACATCGTCTGAATCCATCCCAAATATATTTTTACGCACTGCCTTTGTGATCTCTGCAGATTTTTGAACACGATAATTCATACTTCTCATACTTCTCGATGAAATTGGTGATAACTGTAAGGTTGAAGCTATACAATTGAATTGTTCCACATTATATGGACCTTGGATCTGATCCGCTGATGGGATTGATTCTAGCGATGGATCTGTATCTGTAAAATTAAAGAAAAGAAAAAAAATATTACCACACATTAATATATAACGCTGTTAAGGTGATAGTACCATGAACGGGGGTGGTTTTGATAATAGGGGTAACTTTGGTAATGCAGCTAAGCCAAAAATTTATGACTTAAGGCACATCGTACGCAATATTTTGGATAGGAAACCGATGTTCCCTTCCAAAATAATGAATACGAAGAGCATTAAGTCATAACTTTTTGGATTAGGTGCATTATCAAAGTTACCTCCATTATCAAAGACATCCCCGTTTACGGTACATCGAAGCCGCATCTGAATTTTCCCATGTTTGTGGAGCACGAGTTGCATAAACCGCATATCGTACAGTCGTGAAAATTTGATAGATTGTTCACCGAGGTTGGCCTACCAATCGATCAAATTTGTACCATAAGCGGTTCATCCAGCTCGTGCTCTAAAAAAATGTTGAAAATGAAGTTGTATCTTCGATGTACAATCCTTAAACCACACAGTTGAAACAGTTAAAGTTATTATTATTTACCTAGTGTATCATCAAATTCCTGATGTTCTGATTGCTGATGACTTGTTGATGGTTGCGGCTCTTCAAACTTCCGAGCATGGCTTGATTCTTTTCCATCCGATCGCCTCTTTTTCGGGAGAGGTGTCCTATTGTGCACTAAAATTCCACGACACGATTCACAAATACGCATTGTTACATCCAATTGATGATCAAAGCCCCATGAATGTATTTTCTCTATGAGACTTGATGATAAATTACGTAAATTATTGCGGCTGCAATTGGGATTGTTTATGTTGGCACTACATTGCACCCTTTTAATAATCAATTCAGCAGATTTTTCCATTGTTGTATATATAAACACTTTTTCGTTTCAACAACTATGCAGCACTACACTTTCAACAACTATGCACTACAGCAACTATGAGCATTGTTGTGATATCAACAAACTTAAATATTAGATTATGTCGGTAGAAACAGACTGCGGTGCTTTAAGTTTATACCTTATATCTCTCATGTGACTACCTGCGTTGTTATATAACTGCTATATAACAGGTAACTTAACGATTATTTTAGGCATGCCTTAAATAATCGTTAAGTTACCTGCGCTATTATATGTATTCACTTGAGAGATGAGGTATAAACATATATGCATATTGCTTACTAATGGACACACCTAATACATAAAAATAAATAAATGATTATTTTTCTAATTAAATTAATCACAAATACATGAATTGAAATCTTTTCATGAATAAAACATACTAAGTGATTTTTACTTAGTTTACCTGTTGATTTGGAACAATTTGAGGGTGGTTTTATAGAAGTTGGATAGAGTGTATGCATATATTATAATACAATCCATCACAGGAAAGTGCAAACCATGCTGAGATGGCTGTTCCTCATTAGAACGTTTTGTTCTGAACTCTTATTGGACGATTTGCAGGTAACTTCTCTGTACCCTTTTCAAATGTTAGGCTAGATTTCGCCCAGATTATCGAAAAGTATACCCATAAAGTTTAATCGAATTTTAATAAGGTTGTGCGCGTATTACTATTCGACTTTGAGTGAAACACGCTAAAAAAAAATTAACATGAAAAAGTTGTTGTTCGAACAACTTTTTTTCCTTAAAAGCGCCCACTTTGCGATGTATGAAGAAAAGTTAGGTAATTATATTGCCTTTCATGAGAAAAAATATCAAGCAAATCTGAGGGGTACCATTTTTGGGAAAATGACTTTTAATTTTTAAATATATTTTTTTAGAGTGTAGAAACCGATTTTTTTATTTAAATTTTTTTTTAAAAATTTCAGATTATTTGCTAAAAGTTCGCCATACATCACTTTTTTGTAGGGCTTGTCATTTTTAAGCTATATCGATTTGAAAAAAAAAAATCGACAAAAAACTTTGACCCTTATCAAATGTTAGGCGAGATAAATTTTGAAAAAAATAAGTACGCAAAGTTGCTTAAAATTGCTAAGTCTCCACACCCACAAAGTTCCATAAGGTTCTGAGAGGGTGCTGCCAACCACTGGATGAGTTGGCGTGAAATCCGTCATTTGTTGGTTTTTGGCGAGTTGGACCAAACTTGCCAGAGCGTGTGACGAAGACGGTTGTTGGTGGCTGTTGGTGGCAATATAGTTGCCACTGTCTTATAAAGGGTTATGCAAAAATAAACCCTGTAGCGTTGTAACTGAAGATGATTTTTTTTTACAAATGTCACCCAAAAGAATTTGCACCTAGTCATTTTTTTAATCGAGAAATAATTGAGATTTATATCGGGAAAATCAGGAAAAATGCGGGAATTTCAAAAAGGAAATTCAGTGGCAACATTTATGACGTCTAAAACAAAGTTGCAGGAAACGGGATTGCCTTTTCAGAAAAAAAGATACTCACTGAAAAAAAAATCAAAGCAAAAGCTTATGAAGAAACCTGATACTTTCGCAGATTTTGGGACGACTGGATACGGCAACCGGAGCAAAGAAAAGAGCGTACATGCATCCGCCCAGAACTGCCGCGGACGAGAACATTCGGAAAAGTTGGAGTGTCCAAGTAAGGAGAATTTGGCCAACCTACCTCACTATTTTGAAATAATTATTCAATTCTGTTTTCAGCGGTCTTTTCTTCGACAAACACCTAAAATACATTAAGCTTAGTGAGGATTTTGTTAGCTTTACAAAGATGAACCTAACGTATTTGCAAAAGGTACTTATCATTGCCGATCGGTTTGAAAAATTTGATGCCCGTTAAGTTTCTCTTTCTCGTATTTTATAGAACATTTACGACGAAATATTCCTGAAAGCGGTCTACCAAAGCCCAGTGGTAACCCTAGATGAGCTCAAGCGAGGACTTGTAACGACCAAGGGTCCAGTTCGAATAACCTATCTAACCAAAGAGCAGTACAAACGAGCAACTAAGAGTCTCGGACTGATGGATGATTTTAAGGTAACTGCCAGCTAGTGACCTTCCCTCCAGTTTTTTCTTTAATTCCTTCTAAACATTTCAGAGTGGAGTACCGCGCACCGCTTACCGTGGCGTCGTTTCGTTCTTCTACAACGGGCAGCGCGTCTATCTGGCGCCGAATACTAACTGGAAAGGGTACGACCTGACATGGAGTTAACAGCAGCGGATAATTGTTTACCAGCGTTCAAGTTTTAGTCTATTTCTAAGCAATCTTCTAAAGTTGATTTAAACTTTACGAAACCGAACATGTAAGTCTCTAATCGGGCAAACCAATCAAGCATTTCTCCAACAGCGCTAAAAATGTACAGACTGAAAACTATTGATGTTTCCCCGGAAATGCGATGCTCAAGATAGGACCTCGTCAGATAAGAACCATAACTACACTGTTTGCTACAATATCCCAGCGAAATAGCGGGCCTGCCCGAAAGCATCACATTTACTTTCATTCCTATATAGTTTTTTTTTAGTATATATGAAAATATTTCCGTTCTTCCAAACGTTTCTGTTTTCTCTTAGCCACTAAGTTAAGCGTACTACTATCGCTTGCGTGCTTTAATTGTTAGTTATTATTATGGTCGGGTACAAGCACTAGGTTTAAGTTTTAATTTATTTTACACAGGATCAGCCAGTTTTGCAACACCTGAAGTTATGCAAATTCAATGCAGCGATAAGAGTATATGGATTTTAGTTTGAATTTGATACTAGTCAAATATCATTTATCAGAGACATCTTTTGAAAATGTCGTAAGCTTTTTCATATTCGAAAATTGACATTTAAATTTATGATTCATGTGAAAAAAGAAAAGCGAGAAAGCAATACTTTAAGAACTTGTAACGGATAACATGAACGAATAATTCGGAGCCAAACATAATGTGAATGACAAAAACACTAACCACAGTTTTTAAGATATGTGTAGATGTAGGATGCTCATTATTTCGTTGTGAGCCTTTTCACGTGAGCTAATAAACCATCACAATCATGGCATTGTAAAATTTACCAGTAAAAAATCTTTACTCAAAGAAGAGAGTGAGTGCAACTGAGATATGTGAAGGATTCACGAAGAAACTTATTGAACCGAGGGAAAAGATCTCAGAATGTAATTTTTGACGGATTTCTAACCGTAATGAAAACAAGCAGTAAATACAAATTTGAAAATATATTGGCCAGTGATTGGCTGTGATACTAACTAACAGATCGTTTGTGTAAGTTGTGAAAAAATCCCTTAGTTAACTGAGTATGGAATAATCAAAGGGTGATCTCATGCTCTAAGTTTATTTTCAGCATTTCGATGATGGAACGTCTTCAGATTTATATTATAATGGGGCTTATTACGGGTGTCACATCACTGTGAAAAGTTGTCACTTGTCGTCACGGTGAAGTGATTCCCATTTGATTTGTACGGTAATCACGGCTCTTTTTCTGAGTATCACTTGCTTATCACCTTGTAGTGACACCCGAAATAAGGCCCAATGATAAACCATTTGGTTTTGGCTTCGGGCAAATCCAAGTATAATGCATGATAACACTGATTCATTTAAAACCATAGTTGCATCACTTATCAAGGTGAATCCTGATCCAACGAACCCAACTTACTAACAAAATCTCCTTTTCTGTGTCTTTTGTTGGGGTGCAGAGGTAAACACGGCCCACAAACAACAAAGGTCACTCTAATATTCCTTCCCTACTCCCACCTGATTGCAAGGACGTGGCCGGCGCCGTTATTGATCTACAACATATAGAGCCACTGAAACTTGTACAATGAGAATGGATGGTCACTCCCAGCCCCATTCAGTTGATTCATTGTACAATTTCACTGATTCTGATCAATCACGGAGTTGCAACTTGCAACCATTGATATGTGCAGTCAATCTAAGCTAAGCTAGCTATTGGTTATCGTATATGTATAGTGTTTATAGTAATACATATCTTTCATTATTGACTTTACATCATTTAATATTATTGTAAATTACATTTTATTATACTTAATTCTTAATGTTAGCTATTATGAGCGGCTCCAGGGAAGCATAGTGCCAGCTTGAAAAGAAATCTGAATCGTTCATTATCTGTTTTGTAAAAATCTTGTTTTTATTGTATCTTGTTACATGGCATTATAACGCATTTTCAATATTACATTACATTTAAATAAGTATTAACCCGGTTACACACATTTCAGGTCATCCAGGTCTTAAATAAGATGGGATCCGTTCATTTTATCAACAGTTGTGATATTGCATCATATGCTGAAAATATATGAATTATCGCGTATTTCTGTTGTTCATTACATACCAGGTGAGGGCTTAATCATGTTTTGCCGTCTAGTGTTTTGGTTTTGAGATGCTCGATAACCTTAGAGGGATCGGTTTTGCTTAATGAGCAGAATATCATGGGTTTAATCCCAAGCTCTCCCACAACATAACACAACACAAACATATGAAGTATCATTCTAGCTAAAAATATTTATTTGCATAATATAACCTGGAAATTTCAGGGTTACATCTTCCTTATTGGGAGCTAAGGAGAGAGAGAGAGAGAGAGCTGCATCATATTGTATGTAAAATAATTATTATTTTCATTGCGGAATACCTGTTTTTTATCCATATTAATGTATTTTCATTATTACGTATTTTAATGTTCTGATATATTTCATTTCTCCATTACATATGTTTACTATATATATATAAATAAATACTGGGTTGGGAAGGAGCATCAGGGTATCATTTGACCTGGAACTGGACGATTGGAGTGGTATGACAACCGGAGTCTAGGAGGGAATAAACACTATCATTTTCTTTATCCTACCGATTCGATTGTGGTGGTGTGAATTCTACTCCAACAGTTTCATGGAGATTGACGCGCCCTTCTTAACAAACCATCCTGTAGGAAGCTTAATAAGTATTGCGAATTGCGTTATTCGATTTGTTGGATCGTATCGTTGGAAGGAGATTCTTAAATTCCCGTGGATTTCGTGTAAGTGTCTCTGCTTACGGGTCCACCCCACCGTTTTTGGCCCTTCATACAGCGATATTGTGAATTCAGATCGGTAGCTCAAATTGATCTTGCTATTAAGTGGAGCTGCATACAAGACAAGATCTTCGAAGGGATGGTGGCTACCTTACATACATACATACATACATGGAATAATCAAAGGGTGATTGCAGATGACTAAGTCTATTTATATCATCATCCGACGTTTGATCAGCTTGGAATTCGAACCTCGATCAATGGCGTGACGTAGGTAAAACAAATCCAAGATCCATGATTTGATTTCTCCGGAAGGTTTTCAGACTTCACGCTCAACTTTTCAAACAGTCCGATCGATTCTCTTTATCGGATCACCATGAGGCATTTGAGGATATTTTCGACACACAGTTTGATGAAAGAAGGAGCGGTCTAGCATCTACGTTTCACTCGAGCGGACTTTTCGATTTTTTTGGAAGAAGAGTCCCATGCGTCTAAAGGGTTCGAAATGAGAACTCATATGTTTTTCCACTTAAGAACTGAAATCAGTATCTAAGCTTAGTCCTAGAAAATTTTCCTAAGATGGCCTAAGCTTAGCTTTATTCTAAGATTGAAACTGTGCTCGTTCGCACCTGGCACACCTCGAATAAAGTAACAGATCAGAACAACTGCTATAATTATTTAATCTCCGGAACCTTTTATACATGAATTGGTTACTTAAACTCTACAACTCCAGAATGTATAAAGCGAGACAGATAGATTAAGGTATCATAAAGACTTCACTCATGAATGGTATCTATATTTTACATTTTGTGTATTATACCTTGCAATGAGCACTCATACATCGGATTTCCAGTGAAAACTAGATGTATGCGTGCTCATTGCAAGACAGCGTACATATATCACGTGATATACGCTGTAATGTGAACGGGGTATAACCATAGAGGTAACTCTAAGACCACTGGGTCCCGAAGAAAATCATTATTCTTTTTGGCTCACTCAGTACCAGAACAACGGTCCCAAGCAGTACCAAGCTATTTCACTCACCCCTGCATGTTCTGCATGAATCCACACACCCCTGATATTATCTGTCAAACTTTCATATAGCGAATCAAAACAAACATAGTGTAGTAATAGAATTTCAACTAGAATAGGGTACGTTAATCGTTTGCTTGGGACCAATAGGCTACTAAAGTGGTGAGCCAATTTAAAATCGTTAGTTTCGTATTGATTGTTGCTATTAGAGTTATCTCTATGGTTATACCACAAACGAAGTGACAGACGACTAACTGGCGAAGAAATCAATTAAAATAATGTGGATCGCTGTAATAGAATTTTCTTAGAAGCTTGTGCCATCATCCACCAGATGGGATAGTATTTTTGTTTTGGTTTTGCACAAAGTTGATTTTGTGTACAATGATTCTTTGACAGTGTGCAAAGAGTGCGTATCATCAACAATCAATACGAAACTAACGATTTTAAATTGGCTCACCACTTTAGTAGCCTATTGGTCCCAAGCAAACGATTAACGTACCCTATTCTAGTAGAAATTCTATTACTACACTATGTTTGTTTTGATTCGATATGAAAGTTTGACAGATAACATCAGGGGTGTGTGGATTCATGCAGAACATGCAGGGGTGAGTGAAATAGCTTGGGACTGCTTGGGACCGTTGTTCTGGTACTGAGTGAGCCAAAAATAATAATGATTTTCTTCGGGACCCAGTGGTCTTAGAGTTACCTCTATGCTGTTATAGCGCTATCTTGATGGTGGTTTCTATGTTGCAATAGGCTACTAAAGTGGTGAGCCAATTTAAAATCGTTAGTTTCGTATTGATTGTTGCTAGCACCGAGTAGGGAGAAAATTCTGAACAACTGTCCACCAACGAAAAGATCTTCACTTCATGAAAAACTTTGCCAAATACATTTATTCTTTATCTCGTCAGGATCTAGTGATGTATGACATGCGAGAACTTAACATGCATACGAGCACTACCTAGTGAAAAGATTTTGAACTACTGTTAATCAGCAAAAAAGCTATCATGTCCTGAACAGCTTTGCAGTTGGAAGTGATTCTGAACTACTCTCCACCAGCGAAAAGATTATGATCTCTAGTACAACTTTGCCCAAGACAGTAATTTTCTATCTGGTCAGGATCTCGAGATTTTCCATGTTGTAACCAATTAAGTCAAATCCCACGTAGTACGGACGCCGTTTACGCGGTTTCCAATAACATTTGCTCTATTATCTGCATTTTTGTGGGTTAACTGTGATAAAATTTTAGCTTGTTTAGTTAAAAAGAAGTTTTTTAATGAATACCCGTTGGTTTCATATCGATTGGTAGCTCGACTGTAAAATGGCAATGGAAAACTCACACTGTTGTACAAAGTACAACGTGCGAGTACTCGTGTTATAAAAAATGGCGCGAGTAACGGAGGGTTAAAGGGGGGTTTCGTGAGAATTGGGCCTTTGGTTGGCTTCATACCTGAAAATTTATATCAATTTTCTTATCTTATTTTGTAGTTCAATTAATTTATTCATCATTTCAGTAAAAACAGTATAGTTCATCAGTAAAGTGATTCAGTAAAAACAAAGAGAATTGCAAATTTGATCATAAATCAATCCTTATTGACTATTTTATCAAGAATATTTCCCCTGATTTCACGAAGTAAAAACTGCCGTTGCAACGGCAATTGGTTTTCCTCAGCCCCTGTGATGATAGTGTCAATCCTGTTCAGCGCTGATTGATCTGGAACTGGTTCGTACTCCTCATCTTGGTTGTCATCTGCTGTAGAAATGTTTGCAGTTTCATCCAGAGTGGTGTTCGTCACGTGTCCTTCATAACAATGTGGATCATGGTTAAGAACAGCATTGACTATGTCAGCATCAGACATGACATCGAATTCCGCATTCTCGTCTTCATTTTTGCCTGCAGCCGCTTTATCAACAACCATCAGTTGAATTGTTACACTATCATCCCTAGAGCACCGGAACTAATATTTGCAATGTTAACATTTCAAAAATATTAATGGAAAATGGTCGAAATTGATCGAGTGCGTCAAGTTAGGAACCGCGTCAAATATGGTGCCTTCACGGTAGCCGTGATTTTAAGCCAAGCTCAACTTTGTCTCTACACACTCGTGAGAGTCGCGAGACTACGATTTTTCTCAAGTTGAGGGGTCCCATGGCGTGGTTGGCTAAGCATAAGCGCATAAGCGCGAACCATAAATTTACCTTACCTAAAATGGTTATAAATTGTTTATAATCCCTGCTAAACTTTAACTGAAATGGTTATGGAACTTTACATGAACGTTTAATGATAAAGTTTTAACCTTAAGTATTATAGTTTTTTGGAAGTGGACCTTACAAATAATGGGTTGTTAAGAACCATTACCATCCAAAATTCTTGTTTTCTCCATACATTTTCGGAAAGAAAACTATGCTAAAACCTTTTAACTTATGGTTTGAGAACATTAATGGTAATGGTTATGGTAACCAGTAAGGTCCACGAATGGTTTTGTAACATCGATCAACTTTATGTGGAATATATCGCGAATTGGTTGCCTGTAAATTACTGATTACCAATTCACGATATATTTCACGTAAAGTTGAGTGATAATACAAAACCATTAATGGACCTTACTGACTACCATAACCATAACCATTAATGTTCTCAAACCATAAGTAAAAACGTTCTAATATAGTTCTCTTTCCGAAAATGTATGGAGAAAACAAGAATTTGGAATGGTAATGGTTCTTAACAACCCATTATTTGTAAGGTCCGCTTCCAAAAAACCATAATACATAAGGTTAAAACTTTATCACACAAATGTTCATGTAAAGTTCCATAACCATTTCAGTTGAAGTTTAGCAGGGATTATAAACAATTTATAACCATTATCGGTAAGGTCATGTGATGGTTCGCGTTTATGCGGGTTCTCAAGCGGATGGTCCATGGGTTCAATTCCATTGATCTTCTTATCGAATTTTGATGTATTTTAATGTGCCTCATGATAGGTTATTATCCAAGTCCGGTTCTGGTCACTTTCCCGGGGCACCCGGAACTTGCCCGGAAGTGGCCAATATGGTCCAAGGTACTTAATTTTTGCCACCATTGATCTGGTTATCGAATTTTGATATAATCTGATGTGTCGCATGATAGGTTTTTATTTAAGTCTGGTTCTGGCCACTTTTCCGGAGGCACCCGGAACTTGCCCAGAAGTGGCCAATATGGTCCAAGGTACTTAATTTTTGCCACCATTGATCTTAATATCAAATTTTGATTTAATTTGATGTGTCGCTTAATGGGGTTTGTTCCTTTCAAGTCAAATTTAGCCTCATGGCCCATAAACGCCGGAACTTGTTCCGCCCATATCTACAAAACCAGTGGTCCGATTCCATAATCCTTTAATAGCGTTCAATGGGACCACTAAAAACATTAAATGAGACCACATAGGTCCATTAAAAAAAAAAAAAATTTATGGCTCGATTATCCGGAGTGAATTTTTTTTCAAGACTCCGGATAATCGAGTCCACTCTGTACTATAAAGAGGTGATTTTTCGGAGAGGATGTCCGGACACGAAGGCATCCTTTCATGAGCTCGAGTCCATTGTATTCCTATTTCATGGTATTTATTGAAATTATTCTGCGTCTGTGAATGATTTAATAAATATATTTTATTATATCCTCCTTGTATTTTACAATATATTCCGAACATTTTAAATTAAGTTATCATAATCAATAACAAACAAATGGCTAATAAAAATCATTTGTCACTAGCTATAATTTTCATGTGTGACCACACATAAAACTTATTGAATGGCGGATGAAACTAATTATGTGTCACACACATAAATAATATTTGTAACATCACATTGCAAAAATTTATGTTTGTGGCACATAATCGAAATATCAGTGTCAACATTTCAAAGGGGCGTAATTGCATTTATAAACAATGACTTTAGCCGTCGATTTCTCGTGAATTAAAACTTACTCATGAAGATTAATGACACCAGCAGGTAGAGGAATGTTTCCTTTACCAGCTAGCATTGTTAATTTGGAGGGATGGACTTTTATTTGCGAGAAATTGATAGCTAAAGCCATTGTTTACAAAAGCAATTACGCCCCTTTGAAATGTTGACACTGATATGAGCAATTTTCACAGTGTGAAAATAGGAATAACTCTTCGGTCATCAAACAATACTTTATTTTTCTCGGATCGGTGCGAATGTTACTTTCGACATAATGAAAATTTGCTCTTCAATTTACAAAAGCAATTTCCCCCTTTTGAAATGTTGGCTTCGAAATGAACTTTATTTTGGGTTATTTTTTATTTCTGTGTTAAAAAAATTAACGTGTATTTGCCCCAACAACAAACGGCTGTCAAATTTCATTCTGTCCCGTCCCAATCTGTCAACCGTCCGCCATCGGAACGCGCGTTTCAGTCGTCTTTGAACAGTGATTTTAGGATTTCGTTGAATATTGTGAATTTGCGTTCAATTAATTGTGTTGAAATTGACTCAAAATGGATCAATACGTACCGGTGCAATATCGGGAAGTACCGATGAGGCAGCTCTTTTCGAACGCGAGCAGCTGGAGAGAGATTAATGTTAGCACCGGTGAGTGTTGCGGCTTTGCATGGCGGTGTACAATCGTGGTGTTTGTTATCCCGAGTGCGAATGTGCTGTAAAATATGGTTAATGATTTTGGTTTCGATGTTTATAGGAGGGATCCATAATATGCTGCAGGATGTCAAGACTTCAGAGCAATGTGGCGGCTATTGCTTTGCCAAACGGGAGGATTATCGCTCGAACCGGTTCATCTATTGGTAAGGCTGAAATTGAATAATTGATCCCGCTGAACGGGGGTGACTATTTGTAAAATTTGAAACACATTCTAGGCGTACGTGTCGCGATTCCATTTTTCTGAGTGAAGTGAGCATGAATCTAAACTTGACGAAGAACAACCTGAAGATCAGTTTCGACGAAAGTCCGATTCTGTCCGTTGACGTTAGCGGCAACCAGCTGCAGGTTTTTGTGCTCATAGTCACTGTCACCAGTGTGCATCGTATTGTTTTGAGACATCCAAAGGTAAACAGTGTGAATCCGGATGGGGCGCTGGAGTCAATTTTGGCAACTGTTACTAGAGATCACATTTGCGATTCGTCTTCGTTTTATGTTATTAGTAATGACATTGGTAAGGTGTATTATTTTGTGTGCCTATGATAGAGAAGTACCTATTGTGTGTGTGTTTTTTTTTCAGGTCAATGCTTACCATCAATCGCGGCTGCCTATCGTGTCGAATATGACACTAGCGATAGCGATGCATTTTTTGCTGTTGCTACGGTATCGGCGCTGTACCTGTTTCAGATGGGAAATCATGGAGGCGTGAAAATGACCGAGCTGAAGCACAATCAGCTGATCTCTCGGTTCTTCTCGAATCTAACCGATGCCTGGAGGTTCGGATATATTTTCAAAATAAATCTGCATAAATGTTACCATTATAATTACTTAACTTACAGGAAGAAAAATGCCAACGCTCCGGATCAAATTGTTTCGCTGATGTTTGATCAACTGAACGGGCAAAAAGTGCTTTATGCTTTCTATCGGAATAACGTTGCCCGTGTTTGGACCACCAGTGGTTCCTGTATTGGCGCGGAGTGCTTCGTCAAAAATGGCGACCACAAGCTGGAAGGATGTAAGTGGATGTTGTATTTAATGTTGATTCTAACTCAATCCTTACGGAACATTACTTTTCATACTTTCAGCTCAAACCAACATGGTTCGGAAGTCTGATAACCTCATTGGTGTGTTCTTGGCGTACTCCGATTGCTCGGAGTTTATCATCCTGAGTCCCTGTTTGGACGACTCGGGTAACGTTTCCCTCGTAAAAGAAACCGTCATCCTAGCTCCCAACTACGATCTGATTGATTTTAAGCTATCCGATCAAAGCATCTGGGCTCTTTGGTGCAATGCTGAAGGTAATTTCAATGTAAAAGTAATTGTGGCTTTCGATCTTACCAGGGCTTTCCAATTTTAGGAGAAATGCAAGTCCTCACGTACTCGTTGAGCAGCGAAATCGACAGCTTTTGGCTTCCGATTCCGCTGGAAAGCATGGATGACAAATATACGGCAAAGCTCGAGAAAGGAACCGATCTGAAGCTGGTCTACTGTAATCGTATATTCCACTCGGGAAGATTCCACAATAACGTCATTGCTAAGACCCTGTCGGTAGGAATAATTGCTTTCCTTTGTTCGTCTTGTTTGGAAATTACTCCACCATCCTTTTTTGCAGATGTTCAACCGAAGTTTTACCTACTCGGGAACCAACATTTCGACCGCTGCACTGAAACGTCACGTTTGCAGTTATATCGACGGCGAGCTGCAGAACGAACGCAAATTGCAAAACATCACTGATGAGGAGTTCATCGAGCTGTCGTCCAATCTGTGGGAGAAGTTCTACATGTGCTGCTCGCAGTACAACTTTGAAGCATGCCAACCGATCGGCATGCTTATTCTCGACCAGATGGACGCATTCTGCTTGATTAGGAAAAAGTTCATCTCATTTTTCCGGCCGTGTGACGAGCTGGAGGTTGCTTTTCTGTCGGAAAATTATCCGGGAAGTGTTGTCGGCGGTGGCATTGCTGGGGGTAAATCGTTGCAGCAGGATGTGGCCGTGCTGATTCGGGTGCTGAAGCAGATCGATAAATTTGTGCCCGAGGATGACAAGCTGGAGATTGAATCGTGCTTGTTCCAGCTGCGTTCAACCAAGGATGTGATGGAGGCCATTGCTGGGTCACAGTGTTTTGGAAATCAGGTAGGTGGTGCTTGGATATCGATATTTTTTAACCTATTTGTAGGGAGTTTGACCTATCTGGATCAGCAAATTCGAAAGCTTAACAGCTACGTGTGAATTCTCTAAGGATGAAAATCAGGGGCCTTGTGTATGCAAGTCGAAACGTCTTTTTCATACTAGGGTACTTACGAAAAACGTTCTGTTTCGACTTCCATAAAAAGGTTCCTGATTCGATTGCAACACTGCATGAAGTGGTGCGCAGCATATTCTCCGAATATTGATCCTCGTGCGATCAAATCTTAAACGCTATGGTCATCCGGAAACTTTGATCAATGCCATTTCCGAGAAAATCCGCCAATTTGGACAATTTGGACAGCTTCGTCGATTTCGGTATGGCGGTTGATAATCTACGGGAACATCAGAAGAATGTAAGCAAACAGGCACACCTAAAAAACGTCACTGCTCCGTGATAGGCAACAATCCAGCCAGTGGCTGAAAGTCTCTTTAATAAAGAAAAAACTGAAGTGGTCAGCACCCAAGCATTCCGTCGTGGAGGTGATCCTTGAGATGTTTGGTTTTGGCAATGTAATGAGTTTACCCGAAGCTCATAGTCACGTCAAGCAGAATATCATTCGGTTGGGCCAACGTCGTCCCACTGACAGAAACATAACCAGGTTGTTCTATATTACCCCGAATTCCCGTGTTGGTCAGGCTGCCACCCTCCAGTGACCATCCGTGTAGATGCCACAATCACCAGAGACTCCAACAAAATCGCTCACTTTATGGGGAAATACTTCACTTCTCTCTCTGGTCTCGGCTCTTGAAGAGTACGACGATCGCTACGACGTCGTAAAAAAACACGTATCGACGAGCTCGTTGGTTAACATCCCCATTGATGAGGACGATCAGCTACTGAAATTAACCAATCTTGTCTACCACTAGTTGTAGCTTTGTCCATGCTACGGGGAATTCGGCTGGTTCAGATAACATCGGATACCCCATGCTAAAGAAACTATCGTCGGAAAGCTAGTCCAGGATCCTTGGCCTTCTCAATACGGAATGGCAAGGCAATACCATACCATAAGATTGGAGACACAGTTTGTTCGTCCCTATCTCGATGCAGAGCGAATCGGGTCACCAGCCCAAAGACTTTCATCCGATCTCGCTAACATACTGCGTCAGCAAGGTGTTGGAAAGAATTATCAACCGTAGACAGGTGCTCTACCATCGCCAGAACGCCTTCCGTCCAGGACATGGCACTGGTACCAAATTACCTCTATGGTACCAAATTTCCAATGAGGTTCCTCTCAAAATGGTTCTCACTGGATTACCTTTATTTTACATCGACGTGCTGAAACAGGAGCTGACGAACACTAAGTGGCCCCAATCGAGGTGAAAGTTCTGGCATCAAAAAACAGCAAGTACGTACGCTGTACTTTGTGAAAGGATCAGTAAAACTTCAAGACCTGCTAAAAGTTAAGGCTCTGTTTAAGACAACGGATGTCCTACAATACTACCGATGCCAGAAGTTTGGTCATGGTGAATCACACTGCAATCTTCTGCCCTTCTGTGTGATATGTGGAGAAAAACACCTTACCAACCAGTGTAACCTGGCGCCGAAGACTGCCAACAGAAGTAAGACACGTTCTCATACCAAGTGCGCGAATTGCAGCGGAAACCACACTGCAAACTATCTAGAACTACCTGGAAAATTTGCAGAAGAAGAGAGCTGCAGGCAGAAAGGAAATCCAGAAAAACAAATCCAACTTTACACTGTCAAGATCACAGGCAGCTCCCAACACATGCATCTGTACCTCATAGAGTATACCCAACCAATCATCTGAACCGACCAACGTATGCCTAGGTGGAGCGGCAGTCATCATTGTCGGTGCCGACCTCGTCAGTCCAGGCCACGTGGGAGTCCACCTCAAGTCCCGATGTTTTCACAATTTCGGAAATCGTGTGACGTGGCGCAAGCCAACAAAATCATTTCTTCATCCATCCCACTGTTGCATACGGATGGACAGACAAAGCGACGAAGCAGATCGTGGGAGGGGTGTGGCAGTAGTGAAACAAAGGGAATTGCTTATACCGTGAACCCCCGGTAATCTGACCGTTCTAAAAATTGCTCAAACGTCAGAAACGGAGCGCAGAATCAAAACAAAACAGCAAATAAGGCTGCCAGAAATTCGCTTTCCTGCTGATCATAGAGTTACTAGAAGTTCAAATTAAAAATTAACCCCGTTATTTGTACGAAGTGTCGTTCAGATTAACGGGGGTCCACGGTACACAAATCAGCATCAGTACGACTGCCGTCGAATCTTTTGGTGTCGATATTCATCAAGGTAATCAGCATACTTGAAGATACGCAGAAGGCAGTCAAAGCCCGACGCAAGGACTTCGACGTGTAAACGGCTCCCCATTGGACACCACGATAAAGAGGAAGCCCTTTGTCCAACCGTGGACTACACAACCAATGCCGACAAGAAATCCGTGATGCCAAGCAGTGTTGGGAAAATATCAAAAAATCAAATCTCGCCAATGCTTAAGATCACGCTTGATTTTCGTAGACAAAAATCAACAAGCAAACAACAGCGGTTGATTTTGCAAGCTGTGATATCGCAGCTCGGAATATCAAGCTAACAAAACTCACCAGCTGCAAATCTCAACAAACTGTGGCGAGATTAAGTTTTATGATTTTTGCTTTACACCCGAACGCAACCGAAACTTCCATAACGACTGGCAGCTTGATTTTTGCACTTTGTGAATAGTTCGCAACATCAAAGGACCTTGTAAAATCAATATCAAACATGATATATTGTTCCAATATCACGTGTGATATTGAGAGTGTATGAGAACGGATAATATCCTTTGATTGATGATTTTGCCAACACTGATGCCAACACTCTGGCAGCGAATCAACGCCCTCAGTGGGAAACGACGCACGACATCACTTCACGTCCAGGTTAACGGTTCCACGGTTTCTCGCAGCCATCGAACAAGTATGACAACAAGTTCAAGCAGAAAGCCAAGCCATCGACCGCATCCATCGCAGACTTCATAATACCCCCCGACACCGCCAGTACCGGTATAATCCAAGCCTTCTCTTGGCAGGAACTGCAGCATGTCCTTCGCTTCGGATATTATCTACTCAAGAGGCTACCAGTACCACGACAGCTACGGACACTAGACCTCTTCAACAAGCTCTGGCTCATCAACGGATACCCCGCAGTATGGAAGGAAAGCTTGGTAGTTCCCATCCCGAAAGCCGAAGCAATACTTCGAAGCTGGAAATTTCCTTGATCACCGACAGCACGCTTTCCGACAATGTTTCGGAACGTATATCTATTTTGCAACTCTAGGGGAAGTTCTCAAGAACGCCTACGACAGCGGTCTGTACACCGAGTTAGTATCGCTCGACATATCGAAGCCTTCAACAGAACGTAGACGCCCTTCGTCCTTAAGCAACTAATCGACTGGAGTCTTAACGGAGCCATCGTTCACTTCATCCCGAACTTTTGTCCAACCGCTCATTCCGAGTCGCAGTCGGCAACACCAAATCCCGGCTCTTCCCCGAGGAAACGGGTGTCCCTAAAGTTTTTGCTTCAGAAAATGCTTCATTCCATTGAATGTCTTTTAGGAAGCTTTCATATAGATACAACTCAAACAGAATCTGTACAATCAACATGGTTTTTCTTCTTCTATCTTTAGTGTAACCTTACCTCCGTTATCCAGTCAATTGAAGATCTACCGAAAGCCATGGCAGTCGTATTGCAGAAACTCAAACTGGACCATGAATCCTCTGCGGATGCCAGTTGTAAGTGGTGCTACCTATTTTTTTGTCACACAACTTCTTAATGGTTTTCTCTTCCACCGCAGACGTCTCATTTTCAAAACAACTACCGTTCGGTGGTCTACTCGGCGTCCAGCTGCTCACGGAAACCGTCCGCCAGATGATCCAACTGCGCTACATGGTCGTCCGCAATCTGATCGTGCTGCAGCATTTACTGTTGAACAATTTTGCACTGAACTGCAACGCGATGGAAATTATCCGTTCCAAGTGCATTCCCGACAGTGAGGTGTTCCTGCAGTCGTACTACGTGATGAATTGGATCGCCGAGTCGACGGTGGACTATGCGGTCGTCAGGAGGTACATTCTCCCAGTCTTGCCAAGTATTGAAAGGGGTTCTAATGTTTCGTTCCTTTTTTTTTTCGCACAGCAAATCTTTGGAAAGTGATGCCTCGCTGGTGATCGGCCATGAAGAGGCTTATGCGTTCGAGTATATTTCGCTGCTGCACCTTTTCGTTGCCACCCGGGGTTTGAAAACCTGCATGGCTACCGAAGATGGTCAACGTATTGCTGGTTGTGCAGAATGGTTCTCGGTACTGCTGGACATCTCCAACGGTTTACTCAGGCTTATGTAAGACCCTGTGGTGTAATTTTGATCCTCTAAGTGCAATTCACAGTGTAATTTCAGTTGGCCCGTGGCAGGGGATTTCACATTTGGCCAGTGGCTCATGCAGGGCGAGATGCATATTTTCATCGAAGAATACGTTCGGCTTCTCAACTCCTGGTGCGAATGGAATAATTGTTCTCGTAAGTACTACAACAATAATTTGCTTAGGCTTCAAAAGTAATTTTACCATTTCAATACTGCTCAGGCAATTTCATCCTGGCCAAATCCTACCTCATGAACGGTGAAAATGCGAAAGCCCTCGATCTGTTCCCTCAATCCGCAAAGGGTATCGTCAAGGAACCATACCTTATGAACTTCACCAAACCATCCGACTCATCCTCGGTACCACCGGATGAGATGCTAAGCATTTTCTACCTGAAAGTAATTCGTCTATTCGAGCACTACGGAGCGTACGATTGCATCAACGTGTTGGCTCAAATTGCCATCGGCACGTCGGTCCAAAGCAAGCAGCAAGCGATGTTCCAAAGCATTGACTTTAGCAGCCATATGGAATTGGGACACTACGAGGAAGCGTATCATTCGTTGGTGTACAATTGCGAAATAACACGGAAGAAGGATTGCCTGCGTCAGCTGGTGTGGCGATTGTTTCAGGCGAAGAAGTTCAACATTCTGGTCGATCTACCGTACTACGGATTGGAAGTCGACTTCCAAAATATCATGGAAATGCATGCACGCTCGGTGGAAATTTCCGAAAATAGTCACTATGACTTTTTGTATTCGTATCATATTCTGCAGGGAAATATGCGAAAAGGTAAGCGCTTTAAATTGACAACCATTAAATCTATTGTTCACTAACCGACACCTTCGCTTCCAGCTGCGCTGATCGCTTACGAAAAAGCCATGCGATGCCATCTAGAATGCAATTCATTGATATTTTTGAAGATGCGTTGCGAAGCGTTGCTCAAGTGTATCAACGCTTTGAACCTGGTAGTTCCGGAGTATTCGTGGATTGCAAAGCCAACGATTTTCAAAGAAAGTAAATCGCAGGATGAATCGGTCAGTCTTATTCGGTTTCGGTTTAGCTGCCTAGAGTGAAAGATCAGTTTTTTGTTCACTTCTCAGGCACCTCAAATTGAAGTTATCAGTTTGGCTGATGTCCGCAAGGAGCTCATGGTTATGGAAGCGGTGCTGGAGATCTCCAAACATTTGGAGGATTACCGAGCGGTCCTGGACGTGGATACCAACGAGCTGATTGTTATTCTGGCAAATGCCAAACTGTACTCGACCGCTTTCAAGTTGGCACATGCACTGGACAAAAGTGTACTACCGGTGTACGAAAGTTTGGCAACGGCCTGTGTAATGTGCGGCTTGCAGGACACCGCCGACAACTGGGACTGGCTACATAAGAATAATCTCACAGGTGAGTTTGTTATGTACCTCGAATCTACGTTATGCGTATGTAGCTTATGTGTTATATACCTGTAGATATGCGCGGAGGAGTCTACCCGGTTTGCCATAATGCCGTTTGACATACAGTCGTTCAGCATAAAGTCGTTTGGCATAATTGTCGTTTTGTATAACATAAAGTCTGTTCCAGTTAGTATTTGGCTGCTTCTTTTTAATTACTGTAGCGCCTCTATCGTAGCAAGAAACTATTGACAGCGTTTTAATCCGGAAGGATTGTTTATTTAGTAGTGAAAATTTCATCAGGATTCATATACTCGTTCAAAAGTTATCGAAGATGGAACGTGACAGACATGAAAAATTCTGCACACTCACGTGGAAAACATGCGTGGAGACATGATTGCAAAGACTCTCAAATTTCCAAAATCGACTGTAAATACCGTGCTTAAACGTTACCGGAAAACACTAACGTTGAATCGTGCAAAGCAAAACAAACGTAGAAGTGGAACATATGACCGAAAACTACGAGCGAAGGTCATAAGGGCAGTGCAAAAGAATCCTGGGATCTCCGGTCGTGATTTGGCGAAAAAGTTCAGTGCGGCACACAGTACAGTGCGGCACACAGTACAGTTCGGCGAATCTGTATGCGAGAAGGTTTCCGGTCGTACCATGCCAGCAAACATCCCAACAGGACGCTGAAACAAACCTGGTTGCCAAAAACCATGCAAGGAAGCTTTACGAGCAAGTTCTGACCAAGTATAACGGATGTATTTTGATGGACGATGAAAAAAATGGACTTTGGACAAATCCCGGGCCAAACATTTTACTTTGCTAAACGTAAGGGGGATGCTCCGGATAAATTCAAATTTGTCTTTGCAGATAAATTCGCTCGCAAGTTGATGATTTGGCAAGGCATCTGCAGTTGCGGATTTACCGGAGTTCCATTTGATTTTTGGGAAATATGCTGATTGAAAATCAGTGTATTAATATAATCAAATCTGTGATCGCAGCCACGCTGTTTTCAATACGGATGAACGGAGTTTTCAACAATCTTCCCAAGGAAATATACATTTTTGTGTATGCAGACGACATTGTCTTGGTAGTGATAGGCTATCCGCAGAAAATTAAAAGCACCCACAAACGCTGTCCTACGGTGGACTAAATCCGTTGGATTCCACCTTTCGGTGAAAAAATGTGCTTTTACTCACATCTGTCCGATGAACCACCATGTACTCCGCTCTTCAATCAGCATTGATGAAAGAATCATGCCCTTCAAGAGGTCTATCCGCATCCTCGGCCTACGACTCGATAGGCATCTAAACTTCATCGACCACTTTAATGAGGTGAAAAAGAGCTGCCAAACGAGGATTGATTTACTCCGAATACTGGCAAAAAGACACTTAATGAACAACCGTAACAATCGTATGAGTGTAGCAAAAAAATTAATCTATTTATTTATTTATTTATTTATTTTATTTATTTATTTTATTTATTTTAAATAAATAAATAAATAAATTAAATAAATAAAAAAAAAGCGGTAGTTGATTCCAGACTGACCTACGGTTTAGAATTAACTTGCCTGGCTGCTCATAGGGTGATTTCCAAACTGGCTCCAGTGTATTATCAGGCCATTAGGGTCACATCAGGTCTTCTCCTATTCACCCCCAGGCTAGCCTGCGTGAAGAGTGGAAGGCTGCCTTTTGAAAAGTACATAGTTGCAACTGTTTGTAAGAAAGCGATTGGCTTTACAGAAAAGACTACAGGGACAAGTGACGAAGTGTCCCTCCTCATAGAGGCGAACGATCTCCTGAATAATACCGCCGACCTGGAGCTAGAGAGGTTGGAACTCACCCGGTCTGTCCATCGATCCGGCGATAAAGAACAGCTTCCAGGCGTTAACCAACTCCCCTGCACTAGTGAGAACAGTAGCCGAATTACATCGAACGAAATACAGCAATCATCAAGCACGATACACCGACGGATCCCGAAGCGATGGTAGAGTTGGTATTGGAATTTCCGATTCGGAGCTGTGCATCTTTTACCGACTACCAGACCCTTGCAGCGTTTTCACTGCTGAAGCAGCCGCCATTCTCGTAGCTGCCACCCTACCCTCCAACAAACCGAGCGTCATATTCTCCGATTCTGCCGGTGTTTTAGCAGCGCGTCAGTCTGAAACAGCTAAACACCCCTGGATCCAGGGCATCCAGCAGTTCGCTCCTAAGGAAACAACCTTTGTTGTTGTCCTCCGGAAGACAGTCCAACTTATACACCAGAAAGGTCCCGGCCCAGGAGATAAAGCGGTGGATCACAATCACGATATAGAACTGCTGGACTAACGAATGGAGACTTATCTATCCGGAAGGTAAAAGGGGATACGAGGAAATTGGAGGATCCACCCGGCCATACCAAAGTCTTCCACCACATGGGAGGCGGAAGCGGATTCAAACGACAGTGCGATACGTGTACAGTGGAGCATTTCTTATGCGAATGCCCCCAGTACCATGGGCCTTGTTCTCTATGCGGGATCTCAGGTAACATCAGGGATACCTTGAGGGATGACCCATCCAGCCTCGCTGCACTTTTCTGCTTCCTTCAGGAGGCAGGTCTGATTAACCAAATTTGATCTATGAAAACCCAAGCAACGACAACGGACAATGATTCGGACCAATATCTGGACTCAAAACTATACCTCGGCAACAAATACTGACTCGGACACGGGTGAACAAAGATATCGAACCAAGCAAAGCACGTCCAAGGACACGGAAATGGACGAATGACGGCACTAAAATTAAATACAGCGACTACAAAGGAACAGGACACGGAACTTGACCACATGACCAAGATTATTCAAAAGGACAGTAACATCGGTAACATTACCTCGGGGTTTTCTTCTGGAAACTCACCTTTCCTTCCTATTAGCTCTGTATGAATTGAGAGTATGTAGTCCCTTTTCGTTTCCCATTCATTTTTCTATCCAAAATTAAAAGTCTTTCTGTAAATCCAGATCTTAACCAAATTCAAATTTAGCACATTTGTTGGGGACCTTACTACAGATTGAAGTAGCAGTGGGTGCAGAGGGATGTACAGTTGACCTAAAATAGTACCCAATTTCTGCACCGAATCAGCACTACTTAAATGCCAATCAAATTCAATGTATTTCAAATCTAGGCAAAATGATTAAGACCGACCCGACTTAATTTACTTTCCATACAGATTCGGTCATAAGCCAAGACAGTACGGACACCACGTGGAAGTTCCTGAAGCATTGCCTTTCGAACGAAACCAAGGACCAGGAAGCGTGCCACGTCACGGCAATGAGTCAGATCATTTCGAAGAATACATTCCCACCTCAATGGTTAACGGATTGGTGTATGGTGAGTAGGAGTTTATCTAATTTTCACGTTTCGAAATGAACACTTTTCTAAAATATATTTATTTTGCAGATCAAAACCCCCACCAAACTGTTTCAACTCTACCTAAACTATGGCCGCTTGGAGGAGGCATACGAAATTGCGGTTAAATTGATACAGGCTCAGCTGATCAGGCGCAGTTCGATTACTGCACTTCATTTCCATCGATTCCTGCTTCCAGTTACCTTGATCGATCGGCTTCAGTATGAACTGGGCAAGGAGGTTAAATTCCAAGAGGTACGAACGGTAGTGATATTGCTTCAAGCGAGAGAAAAAAACATTTGATTTGATTTATTTTTACTTTCAGAAAACAAATCTACTGGAGCAACTTATCGGTCGCATAGCTGAGTAAGATATTCAATTGTTTTTTAGTCGTATTCAATTGGAATAGTTATTTGATAAATGTACTTGAATTTTTTTCAAATTCAACGAATCATCGCTTCATTTTGAGAAAATCCTTTGAATGATGCCTACTTTGGAGCTTTGCACAGCCGGTCTTATGCCAATCTGCAGCTGGGTGGCACTGCTATAGACGTATTCTTGGTTCTCTGCCGGGAATGTAAGAAGCTTCTTGATGTGCAAAGTATGCCCATAGTTGAAGTCCTTGGTAAACTTTTTGATTACGGCTTTCAGTTTATTCAGTTTGTTTTCGATTTTAATGAAAAAGTCAAATCTGTTGATAGTGGAATTAACTTGAGAGTGTGGCTTCATTTGCACGTAAGTAGCTTACCGTCCCACTGCGCCATCGTAATGCTCTAAATAAGCCGAAAGGTATGTAAGCCCCTCATAATCGTAGGAGTTTAGCACGAAGCGCCATACAGTGCCGGTTTCATCTCTGAAGAAATTATGGATTCCGGTGGTAAAGTTCTTTCCAATCGTATACAGTGTTTCCACATAGTCCTTTCGGTTGCTATAAAAATTGGGGGCAATTAAAATCGAGTATGGTTAGAACACTTTCCGATATGCTTACGGATCGTTCACGATTACTCGGTATAGCCGAGCGCACTGCAGATGATACTTGAAATTGGTAGGTCTTAATCCTACGTTCAAAACAAGTTCGTGCTGATCCTCCAGATTGGGCCATACTTTATAAATTCCAGAAGCATCGGAAATGCTTTTGATTTCGAGGACCTTTTGGAAGCGGATCTTAGGTTGGATGCAGTCGATTTTCAACTCATATCTGCGTATATTTAATGTGTCTTTATTCGAATGAATTACCGTTACACATATTTTTCTACTCACCTGCCTGGGGTTCCAGATAGTAACGTAAGATTAAATGAGACGTACGGTATAGTTTTGAGCATTGTCTTGTACTTGGGATACATCTTGAACTCCCATAAATTTCCATGCCCGTCATCAAATTTTCTGACATGCAAAGTTTGCGGGGAGCTTGACCATAGCTCAATGTTCATTGGGAAAAATGAAAAGTCGTAAATAGTCTGCGGTTCCTGCTCTTTGTTTTTGCCAATCTCGCTTAGTAGTTCTTCAACCTGCTGTTTTATCTCAATTCTACGATGGATTAGATGTTTCAACCCTAATCCTTCAACATCCTTGACGAGTTGGTTGACTTTAGTACGCAGCAGTTGATCAATTCCGAAGCTCCGAATGTTCACCAGATTACCATCGCCAAGGTTGTTAGCCAGCTTCCCTATGGATTCGATTCCGTCGATCATCTTCAGATATTCATGTAGCTTACTTATTTTTAGATTTAGATCTGCGCGTATGTCATCGATGTTTTTGAAAGCATGCAAAGCGTGTTCCGATTCTTTTCCCATGCACTGTTTGCAAATGCACATATTGCAGTCCGTACAAACCAACGTCAGTAGGAGCGTATGCTTCTCGCAGCTGTACTTATCACATTGTGCACTATACGCTTCTTGGGATTCTTTGCTTCGACAGATGGCACATCCGTTTTCCCGTTGACATTTCGTCATACAGTCGAAGCAGAGCAGTTTCTTGCAAGTCGTACAAAATACCGGCTTCCGGGCATCGTCCATACAGACCACGCAGTTGGTTTCCGATATTGAAAGTTCCTTGGGGAAGTGCAGCGGAGAAAGGGTAGTACATTGATCCGACATTGTTATCTGAGAGGCTGCAATGAGAAAATACCTTTACGTTCATGAATAATGCATTCAGTTTCTTGACTAGGATGTTTCCGTTTCGATCAGGCACTCTAAACGCTTTGTCGATGTATAACGCGAAGTAAGAATGAGGTACCCGATCCATATACAATGGAGTCTTTTTTTACGCGGCTTTTTTACGCGAATTTTGGAATTTATGCGGTTTCTTTTTACGCGGATTTCCAAATCTACGTGTTTTTTCAATACGGATTCCGGAAACTACGCGGATTCTGGAACTTACGCGGTTTTTTACGTGGATTTTTTAAAGATTTGTGAGGCAAATCAGGGAGGTCCGAAGTGGAATTGTTAAAGATTTAGGCCCTAAAATGCTACCTTGAGGAACTGGTGGGCGTTGGCCAGATTTGGTTTTTTCAGATATAATCCTTAATAGGACCTAGATTATTTAATACTCTAGTAACCTCAAGTCCGTGCTCTGTCACAATGTTTCATTGTGATTAATCAACACTCAAAGGGGTGAAATATCAAATTTGGGGTGAATTTGAAAGAAAGGGAATTTGAAGTGTAGAGCACACTGCCCAATGGATGATTCTGAAGTCTGGCCAAGTGAGTGGGGTATGGGTTTATTTGATTGAACGTCATTTCCAATTTATATATCGATACATTCAAACCATTGGCATTTGAGATAAGACAGAGATAGGATGCGGAGGGCCCGCTTAGGGGAAACGTAACCCATGTTATGGTTTCCATTTATTAAATAGTTCAGATAGGCTGAAAATGACAGGTTCATAGTGAGAAAATGTACCATATGGGACCCGTTCACTGATCAAAATCAGATTCACATCGTCAGACCCTGCCCAAGAATAAGGGGATTGACGATGTCTTGTCAAGTTTTATTTTGAATTTGCGTTTTGCAGTAAATCTCGCGTCCGTGCTCATTCACAACAGTGTGATGTGTCAATACTCACTGGGTTATGTCTTAGACCAGTTCCAGATTAGTTTGCTATTAATATCTTCTGCATCGCAGTTCGCGATAGATTACTAAATATGGGTTCTCTTTTCCGACCATAATAGTGTGAGGGAAGGGGGTGAGTTAAACGTTGCGATATGAGAGCGAATAGAGGCAAATAAATAGGGAAGACAACACCATGACCCAAATAAGTAACCAATGCATGCGGCTCACACTGCACCGGCAAGAGGAAGCAGACAGAAAGGGTAGCTTGTATCTAGGAAAAGTCGTATGTGCAGGAAACCGTAAGAAGGATAAGAATCGTAAAAGGTGTGTGCTTGCTTGATAAGATCCTAACTTTACTTTAAATACACGGTAGGAATCGAATATCCATTTATGATTAAGGTTTTGCCTATTGTTGGGGGAGGTTGTTCATTGAAACTTCCGGTCCGCTTCGTAGCATAGTGCTGACTAAGATGTGCCAGGTGGTAACCCACTGATTACCTGACGATCGGCCAAATTTGGAAGACGTCTGCATTGAATTGTCTCACATTGTAATATTCCGCCCACTATATCACAATCAATTGCGAGTAGCTGAGCGGAATGGAGACAAGGAAAGCATTTGGTACAGGACCATGTCTCTCCCGGCTGGCGCCAAAACAATGAACCTGGAAGCAACTGGATCAAGTTGTCATGGGGCACGAAATGATCCTGTTGCATGGCTTGGAGCTGATGCAATCGAGGAAAGGGGGGGGGGGGGCGGGTTTGGTGCTAATGTTCATAGGCGTAGCCAGATAGGGGCAGGGGGGGGCGACTGCCCCCCCTAAACTCGGCAACACAAAGGCTTTCGAGGAAATGGCGTTCGGTGAAATGGCATTCGGCCAAATTTTCCATGGTAATTTTTTTTTCGCCCCTCCCTAGCTCGAAACCTGGCTACGCCCTTGCTAATATTTAATTTGTTTTTGTATAATTTCAGGTGTTAAGATGGTTCGTTGCCTCTGGATAGTGGGTTTGACGGTGGTTCAGCAAGAATAATATTGAGACATACGGAAATGCAACAAACGTGTCAAAATAACTGCATTGGTAACGAAAACACAGAGGAGCGTACACCTGATGTCACACACTACCCGAGCAAAGCTGAAGATCAAATTGAAATAAAAATTTGCTGTTATGATGTAACTTATTTTGAATACTCCAGTTGATCTCATTTTGGTTGACTTAACGGTTAACACAGCAAAAATGAGAGCAAAATTTTACACTGTTGAAGCAAACGGAAAACTAATGCTGCTTTCAATGAAATCAATTTGATTACTGATTTTGCATTCATAATGTTCAACTGAATACGGGGCTGGAGTAAATGGTTACCATTAATGTTTCTCAAGCTGAAAGACTTGCGCTCCAATATCACCCCGGGCAAGTCACGAATGACCTAAAATGTGTTAAACAAATCAAATAAACAATAATCATTAGCTCAACGGCAGATGAATTTCAATTAAATTTTAAACAAGACGTAAACAGCAGAACTTCAAGTTAAGTTGCTTTCATCTAAAAATTCTTGACTGCATAATGAAAGCACAATATGATATCAGACTTATGTCACAACATTTGAAATCAAAATGAGTTTTCATTATGATAGGAACTGCACACTTTAATATCGATTTGCTTTCATTTTGTTAACCGACTTTGCTCGGGTAAGGTGATGGTAATAAGGTCGGTGATAATATGACATTAACACAAAAGCGAAGATCAAATCTGATTGGTCAACGTACCAAAATTCGAAACTTCGATTAAAACGTGGAATCTGAGCAGCACCAGTGGAGAACACTCAAAAGCTGCAGGGCTCATCAACCGCTGCCTGCGGTATATAACATGTGGCTGGTGGCCTCACAAATGGATCTCAGATGTAAATGTCATCAGAAACCGATTGCAATAGAAACGTCTGCAGGCAAGCGTTTGATTATGAATTAAATCCGCCAGAACATCGCAGCAAAGGTAAATACTAAGGCGGCGGAGCGTCAACAAGGAAATTAAGCAAGCCGATAAGAATTTGACCTGGGCCCAGAATGGAAGTCTTTCACGATGGCCCTGTGCACCTCTGGAGGTTGCCAGGTATTTGAGTACGACGACGATGGACGTTGCCCCTTGGAACGGAATGAAAGCGAACAAACCTGATGTTGCACAACAAGCCGGCGTGTGTTTTTTTTTTTCAGCAAAACAACATAATTCTCTATCTTCACTTCTTTATTCTTTTAATCTCTTACTATCCCCTAATCGGACGCCAGTGGGACCAAAAAGCCTGCTAGTGAAAGGAAAGTCGTTATGCTATACGGTCTAGCATAGGCCACGACTAAATTTCCGTAGGTTCATGCCTGGCTTAAGTGCAGATCGGTAGGCAGCAGCCAGCCAGGGTGTGAACTGAGCAATAACAATAACAATAACAATGATTAAGGTTTTGCCCATTGTTCAGTGAGAGTGGCAATACTCATTGATGAGTGATTTATCGTACCCATTTATTAGTAACTGTTAGTAGCTAATGATTAATTGATTTACCTATTTTAGAATTACCTATACTTCACATCAGAACCTCGTTTCCTTCAATTACTACTCCGTCGCAGCACACACCTTATATGGATCGCTAACCTTTATTTAGTTTCAGCATTATAATCAAAAGGTGAGTTTTAAAAGTATAATTATTATGCATATAGATAAGTTAATGTACCAGAACCTCGACGGACACGAGCCTACCCAGGGGAGGACCCGGATACGACCACCCATGTGTGTCTAGAGTATCGCACGAGCTGACGAGTGCAACGGGAAGGATAGTAGGTGTATAGACTAGGGGGTTGGTCCCTAGATAAGCCTTCTTAGCGGAAGGCACAGCCTATGCACTGAACAATTACAATTACAATTAGAATGCTACCTTGAGGAACTCCTGCTTTAACAGGTAGTCGATCAGATTTGAAATTCCGATAATTTACTTGCAGAGTTCTGTCAGTTAAATAATTTTGAACTAATTTCATAATATATAGAGGAAAATTAAACTAACAAATGCTTTTTTATGTCTAAAAGAGCAACTCCAGTTAAATAGCCTTCAGATTTGTTTGAACGAATTAAATTGGTAACTCTTAAGAGTTGATGAGTAGTTGAATACCCATGACGAAATCCAAACTGCTCATTCTATTCAAAATTATCTCTTCAAAAAGTTTACTTATTGAAGAAAGCAAACTTATTGGACGGTAGCTAGAAGCTTCAGCTGGATTTTTATCCGGCTTCAAAATTGGGACAACGTTTGCATTTTTCCATTTATCAGGAAAGTATGCCAAATTGAAACATCTGTTAAATAGTTTTAAAGGGCGAACACGAAATTATTGCGACACATTCAACAGGGCATAACTTTTTTTTACCATTGGGTAAAAATCAACCAAATTTTGCACACTTTCTCATTGATGTGTATTGTGTACATGCTGTCAAACTCGAAGTCGTGTTTTTCGATTCAACGAAAATGGAGGTGAACCAACGCGAGTTGAGAGAACAAATTCTTTCCAAACACCTGGAATTTCCTGACCTGTCGCACCGGCAGTTGGGAAAAATGTTGAACATTCACCATTCAACCGTCTCCAGAGTGTTGAAGCGGTTCCAGGAGCGGTTGACGTTGGACCACGGCAAAGGAGCTGGAAGAAAACCGGGACCGGAGAACAAAAAGACGGAGGGAAAGGTGAAGCGGATGATCAAAGCAAATCCCAACGTCTCAAGCCGTGATTTGGCTAAAAAGATCGGCATGTCGCAGAGCTACGTCCAGAATGCAAAGAAGAGAGCTGGACTACATACATACAAGGTACAGAACTTTCCAAACCGCGATGAGCGGCAACAATCGACGGCTAAAACTCGGGCACGGAAGCTCTACGAGAAGATGCTGACAAAATATGGCTGCTGTGTGATGGACGACGAAACGTATATAAAAGCCGATTTTAAGCAAATTCCGGGGTTGGAGTTTTTCACCGGCAAGTGCATGTTCGATGTGGACGACAAATTTAAGAAGAAGAAAATGTCGAAGTTCGCCTCCAAATATCTCATTTGGCAGG